GGAGGCGGAGGTTGCAGTGAGCCAAGATCGCGCCATTGCACTCCAACCTGGGTAAGAAGAGCGAAACTCCGTCTCAAAAAAAAAAAGAGAAAAAATTCAAATTAATAAAATCAGAAATGAAAGTAAGAGCTGGGCATGGTGGCTCACACCTGGACACCCAGCAGCTTCGGAGGCTGAGGCAGGCAGATCACTTGAGCCCAGGAGTTTCATACCGCCTGGGTAACACAGTAAGATTAGCCAGGGGTGCCAGGCATGGTGGCTTACACCTGTAACCCCAGCACTTCGGGAGGCCAAGGTGGGCACATCAGGTGAGGTTAGGAGTCCGACACCAGCCTGGGCAACATGGTGAAACCCCATCTCTACTAAAAATACAAAAATTAGCCGGGCGTGGTGGCATGCACCTGTAATCCCAGCTACTCGGGAGGCTGAAGCAGGAGAATCGCTTGAACTCAGGAGGCGGAGTTTGCAATGAGCTGAGATAGCATCACTGCACTACAGCTTGAGTGACACAGCGAGACTCTGTCTTAAAAATCAAAAAAAAATAGCTGAGTGTGGTGGCGTGTGCCTGCAGTCACAGCCACACAGGAGGCTGAGGTGGGAGGATTGAGATTGAGCCCAGGAGATTAGGGCTGCCGTGAGCTGTGATCATGCCACTGCACTCCAACCTGGGCAAAAGAGTAAGCAAGACCCTGTCTCAAAAAAAGAAGAAAAAAAAACAAAAAGTGAGGGTTGGTTCCACACAGGAAGGCTAACCCCACAACAGACACGACGGGCCCTGAGGATGGCGTTGCAAACAGGTGCCCTCGGCGCTGGCCGCAGCTAGAGCTTGCTTGTGAGCACTTTTCTGGGGCAGTCACTAGCTGTGCTTCTAGCACAGACTGAAGTCTAAGAATGGCCACCACAGAACATTTAAGACAAAGGAAAAGGACAAGCACTTAAATGAAAAAGCTGTAGAACAAGACTTCATTTTTCTGAATGTATTCATTTACTTTTTTTTTTTTTTTTTTTGAGACAGTCTCGCTCTGTCGCCAGGCTGGAGTGCAGTAGCCGATGTCAGCTCACTGCAACCTCCACCTCCTGGGTTCAAGTGATTCTCCTGCCTCAGCTTCCTGAATAGCTGGGATTACAGGCACCCACCACTACTTCCAGCTAATTTTTGGTTTTAGTCGAGACGGGGTTTCACCATCTTGGCCAGGCTGGTCTTGAGCTCCTGACCTCATGATCTACCCGCCTCGGCCTCCTAAAGTGCTGGGATTACAGGCATGAGCCACCACGTTCGGCCTTCATTTACTTCTTAAGTGTCCAGTAAGAGGGCTGGATAAACTGCAGCTGGTGCCAGAATCAGCAAGTCCTGGCCCCATCCCAGACAGACACCGCAGTTCAGGGAGGAGAGCGGCGCACATCCCAATCTCGCGACGCGCTTGGCAGGCAGGTGCTCCTCGTGAGCAGTGGGAAGGCTCGGAAGACACCTGACGTTTCTCCAGGACGGATGTGGAAATGTGAGGGAGGGACATTTTCTATTGCTTCACCAATGGCAATATACATCTTATTGCTCTATAGTTTTTTAAAAGGACGTTAATAAATTACACCTTTTAGAACCAAAATGGGATGACTCTAGCTGTCATCACTGGTGGCCCTCGGAGTTGGCCTTCCCTGCCACTCCCCACTCCCTGCGAGGCTTGTTCTCCCCAGCCCAGAGCCGGGCAGTGGCTGGTGGAGGGCAGGCCAGCCCTACGCTGCTGTGACTGGGAGGGAGCACTTCTCACCTGGCAGAGGGAAAACGTGACAGACACAACCCCAATCAAGACGTTCAGCACATCCTTCACCAGCTCGCACTCCTTCACCAGCACGGGCTGTGGGGCCTGCAGAACGCCCCCGGCAAGCAGCTGTAGCTCCCCATGGCGAAGCCTGCAGAACTTGTCGAAAGCCTCCCTTCCCGCCTCTGTCAGGTAAGGCTCCTCTCTGTGACCAGGCGGGCTGAGAGGGGGCAGAAGAGGGGGCAGAAGAGAGGCCATGAGCAGACGTGCGACCTGCACCTCAGCACCAGGGTGCTTTCTCTCAGATATGGACATGAACAGAAGAACGAAAGTTATTCAAAACAATAAACTCTAAGAAACACAACCAGGTATGAATGCCACTAACCACCCAGCCTTTTGTGGATAATGCTTCTGTGAGTACAAGCACAATCTATTCTATCAGGACAACTGGTGTGGAAGTGTGTCCAGGGTACCCGCCTAGGGTCCTGGGCATGGCCGGGGGTATCCGACTGGCCCAGCCCTGGAAAATCACCCCAGGCCATGCCAGTGGCCCTCAGGATGGTGACTCACTCATAATGTATTCTGTCAGAAACAAAACCAGATTTGTACACCCATGTCCACAGGAGCATCCACACCCCCGTCCATGGCAACATCCATGCCCCTGTGCATGGCAGCATCCACGCTCATGTCCATGGCAGCATCATCCACAACAGCCAGAGGGAGAGGAGCCTGAGCACCCAACGGAGGAGGAGGATAAATACAGGCAGTCTGTGCAGACCCTGGCCCATCATTCAGCCTTAAAAAGGAAGGCAGTTCAGACACACGCTCCACAGGGACTGCGCTCAAGGACGCCACGAGGAGTGAAATGAGCCATCACAAAACAGTGTGCAACTCCACTTACATGAGGGCCCTACAGTGGACAAAATCCTAGAGACAGAAAGTGGAATGAATGGGGAGCTGTTTAAAGGGTTCAGAGTTATCTGCAGATTTACTGTGTGGTAGTGAAAATACACAGCATTACAGAGCTGAACGATTGGTTAAGACAGTAAAAACATTATATAAATTTTACTAACCCACTCAGAAAAACCACGAGATGGATACAGAAAAAAGTTCACGAATTTTGAAAACAGGTGAGGTGGGCTGGTACAGGCAGCCCTGGGCACATGCAACTCTGAGGAATTTGCCTTCCACTGGTGCTATGAGGCTGTAAATCTCGCACTCACACCCTGCAAACACTTGCACGCCCTGCGCACACTCACTCCCTGCACACACTAGCACACCCTGCACTCTGCACTCGTGCACCCTACCCTGCACACTCATCCAGCACACACGCTCCCTGCACACACCCATGCACCCTGTACTCCCTGCACTCACACCCTGCACACTCACGCACCCTGCACTCACCCTGCACACTCACACCCTGCACACACGCACCCTGCACTCACCCTGCACACTCACACCCTGCACACTCACGCACCCTGCACTCACCCTGCACACTCACACCCTGCACACTCACCCTACACACACGCTCCCCGCACACATTCCCTGCACATTCACACCCTGCACACTCACGCACCCTGCCCACACTAGCACCCCTGCCCTCCCTGCAAAAGCAATCAGCTTCAAAAACCACACTTTTCCTGGCCACCACTGCTATGTGAAGGGGGTTGGAGGAAGGAAACAAGCCCTGAGGTGTCCAGTCAGCAGGTGGGGCCACTCTGGACCCCAGACACCCACTCATGCTCCCTCAGGATGAGACGAGCATGGGAAAGCCCCTCAAAACCTGTCTGCCCCCTGCATTTCTTCCTGCAGACGGCCTCCGCATGGGTGCAAGCTGTCGGTGCAACCCCGCTTCCCTGCAGCCAATCCCACCCCAGATCCTCCAGGACTGGCCCCCAGCACGGCCATGGCCATGCACCCCTCCTGGGGACTCAGAGCTGAGGGGAAAAAAACCCACAGTGGGAACACAAAGACCCAGAGCAGCACCCTGGGGGCTACAGAGTGAACACCTACCCGCCCCCAGATCCCCAGGGAGAACACAGCCCAAAATGTAGCAACACACTTCCCCCAGATGGGTGGCACATGCAAAAAAAAGAGGCCATTCCTGGGTCTGAAAGGCCTCACTCCACCTTAATCAAGCCCTTGCAGCCCAGCAGCAGGGGGGCCGTAAGCAGCCTAACGATGCTGGCTCCCAGGGTGGGCCAAAATAGGGGAGAGTAGCCCACCATGAGGTCTTGGGATGGCAGCAGAGTTGACGTCTTGGAGTGAGAGTGGAGGGAGCTCAATTTCTGGCTGGGCAGCAGCTTTTTTTTTTTTTTAATTTTTTAAATTATACTTTAAGTTCTGGGTTACATGTGCACAATGTGCAGGTTACATAGGTATACACGTTTGCCATGGTGTTTTGCTGCATCCATCCCCTGTGGGCATCAACTTCTTTAGCCACCTGCTGGTCAGAGGTCATCGTAGCAGGAAGGTAGCACGTGGCTGGGATTTAAAATGAAACAAGATCAAAGGATTTGCCAAAGGAACTTGAACCACAGCATCAGGCCGACAGGATTACAGTGTCAGGGGCTGTGGAATCAGGGAGTAGAGGGCCCAGGGGATGTAAACTCAGGTCCAGCCACTGTGTGGCCCTGTGCAGGTCAGCCACTGGACACTGAGATGACCACAGCACTTTCACTCTGCAGGGCCCTGGGCAGACAAAGTCCCTACAGGAACTGCCCAGGCTGTGCTCGGAACACTGCCAGGTGCTCAGCAGAACCTCCCTGTAGGAACCACCACCAGAGCCCCACAGCACCAGAGCTCCACAGTTAGGGACCACCACCAGAGACCCACAGCACCAGAGCTCCACAGTTAGGGACCACCACCAGGGACCCACAGCACCAGAGTTCCACAGTTAGGGACCACCACCAGGGACCCACAGCACCAGAGCTCCACAGTTAGGGAACACCACCAGGGACCCACAGCACCAGAGCTCCACAGTTAGGGAACACCACCAGGAACTCACAGCACCAGGGCTCCACAGTGTAGGGAACACCACCAGGGCCCCGCAGCTTCAAAAAAACACAGCACCAGGGCTCCACAGTATAGGGAACACCACCAGGGACCCACAGCACCAGGGCTCCACAGTGTAGGGAACACCACCAGGGCCCCGCAGCTTCAAAAAACACAGCACCAGGGCTCCACAGTGTAGGGAACACCACCAGGAACTCAC